TAAGCAGAACTCAGGCCTCTAACTTTCATGGCAGAAATTAAGCGTTTATAGAAGTGGGGTAGCAGCTACCACTTTGGGTTGATTTCAAAAGCACGCACTCACTCTTGGAGATAATCACAAACTTAAGGCTTTTTTCCACATATCTATCGTTTCAATATATGAGGCCTATATATAAGCATTTACACCAGTTTTGAAAACACTACCTACGTGATTAGATAACCCAACTACCCATTACCCATAAAGCTACGTGATTACATAACTCTCACAAAATAACTACCAAATAGCACCCACATAGAGAGAGATAACTACCCATGACTCTTAACTACCCTCACATTTCCTATTATTTTGCATTATTCTCAACAACATCTACTTACTGTACCCACTATCCAAAAACCAAACATCATTCACAGTTTCTTTTGCAATACATAAATGCTAAAAACAAGCTAGTTTCATCTGATTCCTTTTCGTCCACAAAATTGCTTGTTGGTTCGGCTTAAAATACTAACATTCACTTTTAAAATGACCAAATTTTTTGCAATGAAAACATTGAGTGTTTTTGGTATTTTTACCTCCTCTATTTGCAATTGTTTTCTCTTTCCTCACCTTGTGAATTTCTTTGGTCATAAGTGTATCCAAATCTCCCTCTTCCTCTGCTTCTACCTCTACCATTATATCCACCTCTCCCACGTCCTCTACCTGCATATCTCTCAAAATTGTTATTTTCGAGGACGACTCCACCTTATATTGAAATGTTTGCTCCTCATTTTTGTCCAATGAACTGTTAATCCGTTTTTTTTTAGTTCATCAAATAAAAAGACATCCAAGTGTGTAGATTCTTCTATTGCAGCGACTACATGATCAAATTTAGGAGGTAAACTTCTCAAAACTTTTTCAACTACTTTTTTATCTGAAATATCTTCTCTAAGTTATTTCATTTGATTTACTATAGTAGTCACTCTAACAAGAAAATCTTGAATTGTCTCATTATTTTTCATAAGCAAAGTTTCAAATTCTTGTCGAAGTGGTAGGAGTTTTATTGTTTTTACCTTATTTGTTCCTTGATGCTCCCTTTGTGAAATACTCCAAGCCTCATTCGACGAAAAATAATGCCTTCAAATCCTTCTTTTTATTTTCTCTTATTTCTATCCTTTGGGCTACAGTAAGTCAAGCCTCTTCACCTGGATGCTCTGCACAACCATTCTCAACCACATCCCATAAATTTTGAAATTGAAACATTGTTTTTATTTTAATACTCCAATGCTCAAAAAATTCACCATTAAAAATAGGAATTGATGGTTGGGAAATATTTGAATTCGTATTATTTGCCATGTGGAAAAATGCAGAAAACTAAATAAAAAAATTAAAATTCATGTCACATTCCCTTTGAGTTTTATCTCTGACCTGCTGGTCTCAAATCCCTCACTAAGGAATAAATCTCCACTAATGCCTATCTCTTAGGCAACCTGTGATCTCCTTATCTCCCTTTTTTTTTTGGCAACCTGGGCTCTCCAATGTCTATCCTCAACTTGGGCTCTCCATGCTAGTGCTTATCTTCTTGTTTTTTTTTTTTTTCAACGTGGGCTCTGATACCATGTTGAAATTTTATAGACGTTATGATACTATTGTTAATTATTTTTTTAAAAAAAAGTATATGTAGCTGCTACTATTTTGGGTTGATTTTAAAAGCACGCACTCACTCTTGGAGATAATCATAAACTCAACATGTTTTTCCCACATATCCATCATTTCAATATATGGGGCCTATATATAGGCATTTATAATAGTTTTGAAAACTACCCACTACCTAGGTGATTAGATAACTCCCACAAAATAACTACACACTAACACCCACATAGAGAGAGATAACTACCCATGACTCCTAATACCCTCACATCTACTTAGACAGGTAGAGAGATAAGAAGGACATGGACAAGGACCCCACATATATTATTTTGCATCATTCTCAACAACATCTACTTAGAGAAAGAGAGAGAGATAAAAGACAAGGACACAAAGTCATATCTCGTATATGGTATCATAGCCACAAGGGTGGCGGTTATGTGGTCTTGACTCCATCGATGAAGAAGATCAATTGTCGTTTTGAAGATGGATTCGAGTTGGGAACTCAACTCAAGACGGTCTTTCTATCCCATGTCTTCCTAAAGATCTAGAATCTTTGTTTAGAGATCTCTCGTTGATCCGAAAGAACTTATTTGGTAGCACGAATGAAGTGACTTATCATTCATGGATTAAAGATGGAGTATATTCCTAATGTTATCTCTATTCAAGGATATGCTATGCAATGCTACTTGGTAGAATTTTAGAATCTCTTTGGTGGCCTACTAAATAGTCAGATTTTCAATTTCGGGAAGTGATGGAGATGATCGTGTATGCATGGTTTCCTTTTTAGAAAATCAATTTAAGATGGAGTGCCAAAATTGTTAAAGTGTATTTTTCTAGAAGGTATATTAGTTTTTATGTTATTCTATCATGAGTGATGTAGTAACGTTTCACTTGTAAGTTTGCGTGGTAGGAAGTTGTAAAACTACAAGGTAGTTAGTAGTTATAGTTGTAAGTGGGTAGTTATTTTAGAAAATATGGTTGTAAAAACCTCTATTTAAGGAGAGGTTTGTGGTGAGAAAATTGGGTCATATGTGTTAAGGTTAATCTTAGGTATCAAGATTGTAATGCCTTTGTGTACCCCAAGGTCACATGTGTTAAGGTTAATCTTATGTATCAAGATTGTAATGTCTTTGTGTACCCCAGGGTCACATGTGTTAAGGTTAATCTTGTGTGTTGAGATTGTAATGCTGTTGTGTACCCCATGGTTTTTTTTAATGAAGTTTTTTTTTCTACTTCATCTTGGTTCTTCTTTTTCTTTCTATTGCATGTGAGTCTTGAGCTAGTGTGGCATTGTCACACTAATTGAGAAGCAAATTGTTCCGGTGTTATGGAATCCGTCTTTCTCTACATGGCATCAAAGCCTCCATAAAATTTCAACATTGAGGACTCTCTAATTCAAACGTCTCCATTTTTCCAAAGAGATTGGATTCCGAGAACTCTACAGTTATTTCAAGGTACTCAGCTGCGCATCGATGGGGGGGCCACATTGGAAGGTGTGAGCTCAATTTTGACTCCATAGCACAATTTAGCAACGAGCTCAAAGACTTTAGAACCACCTGGTAAATTAGGGACAGAGAGAACGCAAGCTTCTTCTTCTACTTCATCATCATTTTCATCTTTTCTTCCTCTCCTGAATCACAAGAATATTCTCGCTCTGGTGTTTGATGTGGGTTTTCGTTTCTGGTTTGGGTGCGAGAATGAGATGAGGAGGTGGGTTTGGGATTCGCTTCTTGCTGGGTTATGAGCCTGTGAAACCTTTCGCTTCTTGACAACAACGGGAACTGTAGAGAGAGATAGAGAGAGCGAGAGAGAGAGAGAGAGAATTCGTATTTTTTTTTTTTAGAAGGCTTAACAGCTTTTGCTCAAGGAACTCAAGAAATGTAGAGAGAGAAAGTTGTTTCTTGGCTTTTGTCTTTCTAAATACCAAAATTGTATGTAGATAGACAGAGAAAAAAGAGGGACGGGTAGAGAGAGAAGGGGTATGTAGAGAGAGAAAGAGAGATAGAGAGAGGATGCGTAGAAAAAAGGGCATTTAAGTTTCAATTTTTTCCGAGTTTTTGACTAGGATGCTAAATACAAAAAAAAAATTGTGTTTGGTTTTTTTTTTTTCTTTAATTTGTGGACAGTGCCAACACTGAAAAAGATGAATGAGTATTTTTCTACAAAAAAAAAAAAAAAAAGAAAAAAAAAAGAAAAAGAAAGATAAAAAAAACCTAATTCAATGAGAACTCAATGGCATAAAATCAAATCTGGGTGGGCAGGGACTTCTAACCCTAATCAAAATGATCTCCGGCACCTTACCATCAAAAGAGTGAGAATCAGTCCTCATGATTCAATCAGACGGCCCCAACAATTAGAAACAGAGGCTTTGCCCCGCAACATTTGGCATATTCCAAGAGAACCGAACGAGAATATTTGTTAAGAACCCAGAAAGAAGCCTTTCATTTATCCACAAGAAGCAGACCAAATGCAGGACAAAAAAAGTTGGCACATCACAATTCTTCTCTTATGATGCGAAGAGAGATGGGACATACGGACACCGAAAAAGAAAACTACAATATGAAATGAGTCGATTTTAGTTTAAAATTATGTAAAAAGTTTACCAACTTGAGAATTTTTATTTTTTACAAAATTACTATCTGAGGATACTATTCTCATACTGCATTTTATATTTTACATATTTTTTAGTATTTTCGAAAGTAGTATTGTGCCTTAAAGTCGGAGCAATACCCAATCGTTCTCATATTAGCATCATTGGACCACTTTCTGTGGTGCCTTTCAAAGATTGGCATCCTCGAACTGTAAAGACTGATTTTGTTATACATTCAGAGGCACAAACCGCAAAGACTGGCTTTGTTATGCATTCAGAGGCCGTCGGAGTATTGCATTCAGAGGCAGTTTGAGTTAGGCAGACTGAGCTGCTGTTCTCAGCACGCTTTCACTAGTACTTTCCAGGACGGTCCGATGATATCTGATGTTGGTATCCACGAACCACATTAGTTCATTTATTTAATATAGTGGTTCGAAGGTATCAATCTCGAACCGAGCACTGTCCTACTAAAAGAAAAATTAAAAAAAAAAAAAATTAACATAGCGGTCATATTTAAAAAAAAAAAAAAACGATTTTAAAAAAAATAAAAAAATGAGTTGACGAACCTTTCTCGTAGGTTTCGCCAAAAATAGAACACCCTTTTTCAGGAAGCAAATTACTGTCTCTTTATGGTGCAATGGACATCACAAGGGAATAGAATAGAAGAGAGAGAGAATCACAAGATGAGGAGAGAGGATATTTTGAAAGAGAAAGCATGGCCACGTAAGTTAGTGTGTCATAAGAGTTGCCGTCGTATATTTACTTACGTGAACATACCAAGCCTACTATGGCTCGCGCCATGCGAGCTCCCCTAAGCGGCGCGCCACCTGCCGCCACTCTCCGCTCCCTTTCTCTCATCCTCCTCTCTCTCCTCCTCGCCTCCGCCTTCTGTAACCCCTCTCTCTCCTCCACCACCAATTCTCTCTCTAAAGACACTTCAACCTCCTCTCTTCCCCCTCTCTCTTACCAGTCTCTCTCATCCTCCACCACCTCAACCCCCAATTCTCTCACTAGCAACACCACAAGCCAACACGTCCGATTCCGCAAATGTCTCTCGCGCTCCGCTTCGACCCCAATCCCCACCCAACCTCCGTCCGCCTCTTCTATCTCCGCCCCCCACCAACCCATCTTCATCCTCCACCCCGAGACCTTCGACCATGTCCAGGCCTCCATCAAATGCGCCGGAGCCTGGAACCTCCAAATAAGAACCCGAAGCGGCGGGCACGACTACGCATCGCTCTCCTCGATCTCGCTCTCTCGAAAGCCCTTTGTTGTCCTCGACCTAGCTTACCTCCGGGAAATCACCCTAGCCCACGACCGAGCCCACATAGCCATGTGGGTTCATGCGGGTGCAACCTTAGGTGAGCTTTATCACTCAATTGAAAAACTAGCACCAAACCATGCTTTTCCTGCAGGTCTTTGTCCAACTGTTGGTGTTGGTGGTCACATCAGTGGTGGTGGTTTCGGAACCCTGGTTCGAAAGTTTGGCCTCGCTGCCGATAATGTTATCGACGCCTTAATTGTCGACCAGAAAGGAAGAATTCTTAACAGAGAAACAATGGGAGAGGATTTGTTTTGGGCTATAAGAGGAGGAGGAGCAGCGAGCTTTTGCGTTGTGGTCTCATGGAAACTAAGGCTGGTACCTATACCTTATAGAGTGACTGTCTTTACAATACAGAAAACCCCAGATCAAAATGCTATTCCTCTGGTTTATAAATGGCAGTACATAGCTCATAGATTGCCAGAAAATCTATTCATTCGAGTGGTAATGCAACGCTACGTCAAAAAAAGCAGAGGGAAAGGAAAAACAGGAAAAAATGGGCCGAAAACCAGAATAAATGCCCAGAAAAAACGCGGAGATGGCGTTACAGTGGAGTTCAATTCACTGTACCTAGGGAATTGCAGTGAATTAAAAAGAATCATGGACCAGTGGTTTCCAGAGTTAGGGTTTTCTCAGGCCAATGGGACTGAGATCAGCTGGATACAATCAGTCCTGTATTTCTCTGGTTACAAATTAGGAACAAGCATTAAAGTGCTTTTAGATCGAAAACACGTGGACCATTTGAGCTTCAAGGCAAAATCTGATTATTTATACAGACCAATTCCAGAGAAGGGGTTACGGGGCATATGGAAATGGTTGGAGAAAGAAGAGAAGGCGTTTGCCATAATTGACCCTTATGGTGGAAAAATGGAGGAAATCGCAGAAGATGAGACGCCGTTTCCACACAGAGCAGGGAGCTTGTATAACATACAGTACATTGTAAAATGGGAAGGAGAAGGAGATGAAGAGAAAAGGAAGCATGAAGATTGGATTACAGGTTTGTACAAATACATGGTGGAATTTGTTTCAGAAAAGCCAAGAGCTGCTTATTTGAATTACAGGGACCTTGATTTGGGCGTTAATGGCGGTTCTGGGGATTATGAGGAGGCTAGGGGTTGGGGTGAGAAGTATTTTAAAGGGAAATTTAGGAGGTTGGCGATGGTGAAAGCCGCAGTGGACGGTGAGGATTTCTTTTGGAACGAGCAGAGCATCCCGGTTTTAAAACAGTGAGAAAACTGGTTCTCTTTCTCTCGACACGATGTAAATCAACTCTATCTCTTTCTCTACCAAATGTTTTTAAAGTTTAAACATGGCTGATAATCCTCTAATACGAATGATTCAAAGGTTTTCTTGTTGATGTGACCAGGTATGTGACAGTATTGGTTGTATTCTAACAACAACAGAATCTCTCTCGTTTCAAGATTAAATGCCATTAAAACCTTAGAGAAGAGGCTCCATTTACCGGAAGATAAAGAAACTTGTGGCCTCTGAAGAATTGGGGGAATTCCAGTTTCCAGGGTCGAGGGACTGGATTTATTTTATTTTTTTATTTCTTTATTTATTTATTTATTTATTTTTTGAGATTGAAAATATATTCCTATCGTTTTTTTATCCAGACATAGATTGATCTGGATTGACAATCATTAAGGGTGAATCGGTTATCCTAAATTATTAGGACCCGTCCGGTTCCCATTAGATAACCAATTCTGACGGCTTTCTTGACAGAAGCATACCCATTTTTTTTTTTGTGTTCTAATTTTTTCAATTTTTTTAATAATCACATTGCCTATCTAAATCACGGATCTGTTGAATCGGATAAGAATTTCGAATGCGCAATTCGGGTCACAGAACTGATCTTAAAACACCTTGCTTTCGCCTTTTCAACCTCATGCTTGAGAAGATAACGAGTCGTTCAAGTCAATTATTTTTTGGGTAGTTTCAATCTATTCGTGTAGTGCACATATGGTTCACGTGAAATAGTTTTTGTATAGGAAATTAATTCGTCAAGAAATAGGTTTTTTAGATTTAGATTTCTCAGGTTTTTATTTATGGTGCAATTTCTATAAGATTGCGACCTCAAACGATCCAATTAAAGCGCACCTCTAAATTTTATTATACAATATAATTTCGGTAAAAAAAATCTTAAGATTATCTAAAACTCTATTTTCATATCTAATTATAAAATTTTAAACTCCAAAAATTGTTAAAATCAAGTATATCAATGAACATATGAAAATCTTGAAAATGGAGGGTCTAGATAATATATTGCAAGATGCACTATTTCTGGGACCCAAAATCTATTTTTTTTTTCATATTCACACATCCCGATGTCGAGATGATCGTTTAGAGGTATTTTCAACATTCAAACAACTTTCTCGATGGATATTTTGAAGTGCATCTGTAATTCTACATTTTAAGGTTGCAACCTTATATAAATATTTTCATTCAAGGTTATGTTAGGGTGGTTATGGAGTAATTTATTATTGTACTCAATAAATTTGAGAAACTTTTATACCCTTGTTTTGTATTATAAATATTTTTTTAATAAGGGTATTTTTGTCATTAAGAGGGGTGTGATATCATCCACATAGGAGCGACATCACCCACATAGAGCATACTAGTGGTGCTCTATGAACATGGGTATAAGTGTCCAAATTGCATTGATTACTATGATAAATTACTATTAGCACCCTAACATAACCCTTTCATGAAATTGTATTTTTTTTTGTTTGGTAACCTACTTGAGAATCTACCATTCTGGAATATGGAATGTAACATACTTTTTAACTTTTAATTGTTGTTATGGATGTTGTTGAGATGGCATTGATACATGTCGAATGGATACGATATCTTGAAAATCTCTTAAAATTTAACCATATAGTAGGACTAACAAATTAGATGGTTAATTATTAGATCCAAACATATTTAATTTATTAGTCTTTTGTCTTTCCATCCGAGAGTATAAAATTAGTGTTTAAAACTCGGATCGGTCTGTTTGGGTAGTTGGTTTAGATTAGTGGATCGACGATCTGGCCCAAAGATATAGCTGATAAAAAAATAAAGAATTGAAAACAAAAATAAAACGTTGATAAATTACAAGAACAAAACTGTGGGTATTGGGGGATCTGGTTGGGCTGGATTGCCCCCAGATCACCCAATTACCTGACAAAACTAGCTAATTCCAGATCTAGACCATGAACCGAGTCAATTCCAATTGGTTCTCGACTTGGATTGGCCGATTTTGATCTGGATCACCATTTGTCAAGCATTGCATGAAATATTCATTAGGTATTGACATCGGACATCTCTATTGTGTGAATTGTTAGTCAAGATGTAGTTTCAATGAATTTATAATCTGGTTTTATCCCTAATGAAATTTAAAGCTGAAAAAAAAAATATCGAATAAATCTATAAACACTCGAAAATCTAAAAAAATTCAATTCGATCTCTATCCCCCAAGACTCAAGTTCTTCTATAAAGGTTTTGAAGCCAAAGAGTAGATATAATGGATATACAATCCCTTGGCCAAAGCTTGTGTCAAAGGAAAACTACCTCACTCTTGTCTAATTTGGGAAACTTCAAATCACAAACAAGCACTGCCTCAAGCAAAATCCGAACCCCAAGCACAAGCTTTTAACCAACTAAAAACACAAATCCAAGACCAAATCTTGACATTTTAAAATGTTTAGTCCCAGCTTAGGATGTCCTAATAGCCATATCTCAGCCTTATTTTTATGTGCCATTATTAGCAACAGTGGAAATAGGCACTCATCCTTAGAGATAAGCACCTCTAACAACGTCACTACTGATTTTTGTCGATAGTGGCAAATAAGTTTTTTTCTTTTCCTTTGTTTTCAGCTATCGGTAGAGCACTACTATTGACGGCATATTGCCAGCACGCGATGTTTGACTTTTAGAGTTGTGTCATGAATAGCGATGAGCCAAGTTGGCATATCACCCATTCTAATACAATTTTCATAAAGTTTTTTTCCTAACTCTGAAAATTGGAACGACCAAATGAGCCCTTAGTAAGGGGAATTTTAGTGACTTGAAATTTTTCAAATCATCTTCATTGAAATTTTTTATCAATCTGCAAACAATTTAATTTTCAGCTCTAATATCCTAGAGTCGATCGTCAATCAATGGATGGCACGAAGTCAATTTTGGAGCTCAAATTTATTCGGGCATGGTTTTTCAGCCCATAATAAATCTTGCAAAAATATTTCCTACTCCTATGGGTGTATATGATCCCGTTTACTTCTTTGGTATACCACGCGCTAGGAATAACTTGTAAATCTAATATTTTGGATTCAAGAAAAAAAAAATTGAAGTGTCTGATCAATCACTCTTACAACTACCCATTTTGAAATCTAAAGGACAAGAATAATTATGACTTTTTTATACAAAAGGCAAATGGTATCTTTGTAGACAATTTAAATAGGGTTTAAGTCAACCTTGACGTTTGTTTATGAAAAAATTATACATACCCCCATGACCAGGCCACCTTTCGATGTAGACCACCCCTCAATATTTTAGGAAAATTATGTTCAAACACTATTTCTACCCCTCTATTGCTGCATGGGAATATTTTTTTGTCAAAATTATGAGAGCACCCCCCTCGTGGCCCTTTCTTTTTTACCGCAACTCGCACCTGTCTGATATTGTTAACGCTGGAGAGAGGAGGGAGAAGATCCAACAGAACTAGCAAATGGAAAGAATAACTATTTGCTCCCTTAGGAGTGTATTATCTATTTACTCCCTCAGTAAGATTCATGCTTGGAATGCTTTTTAGATCTCAAATTTTGGGGATATAATATCTATAACTCATAGAATAATCTCAATACAAAATTTCTGAAATAAAATCTGAATGTACTAGAAAAAATAATACCTCAAGATTGAATAGAGACCATTTAATTTTTGACGCGCTAGATCTAAGTATCACAAAACTCAAAATTTAAAATTTTTATTTTAAAAATAATCATCTAGTAATCGCTATATGGTTCCCAAAATTTTAGACTAAAAAAATCAGTGTAGCGAAGTATTTTGACAAAGGGCGCAGATGTACAGTGTGCTCTCGCGGGAGCACAGTGTATGTGCTCTATAAAAAATAAAAATTGAAAACGTGTGTGATTGTACTGTTGTCTGGTGTTTGTCATTATCGGGCAGGTGGGCGTGGGCAATTGGGTAAAAAATAAAGGGTGTGCTTGTAATGCTAATGAAAAATGTTCCCAGGTAATAAAAGGGTGGAAATAGTGTCCATATGTAATTTTCTCTAATATTTTTTTATAACATACGACGACCTCCAAAACTATTTATGTTTGCAACTATTATCCAAGTCATAAGTTAGTGGTTTTGAGACAAAAATACCCCCTTGTAACATAGCTTTTTTTCACGTGCTCTTGATTTTTTTAAAGGGAAAATATCTTCATACGCCCATCTCTATAAACTTAAGGTTTTAAAATTTATCTTAAGTCATAAAAATTCTAAGTTTTATATTTTTTAACTCCTTAAACTAATTTTATCTCTTTTAAACCTATTTTTTTGCCCTAAACAAATATAAAAAAGACATATCCTTTCTAAACATTATCCTCTCTCTTTTCATGTAATTTTTCCCTAAATGTCTCTCTACCTAGTTCCTACTCTCTCTCCACCGGTGTCTCTCACTCTCCCGTTAGAGAGACAAAGTGGGTGAATATTAGAGAGAGAGAGAGAGAGAAATTTGAGAGAAATATATCAGGTAAAGGGAGGAAGGGTTTAGAATGAGCATGTCTTTTTATATTTGTTAGGGCTAAAAAAAATTAAAAGTAGGTAAAGTTAGTCAAGGGGTTAGGAGATATATTTTGAATTTTTTGGTCTATTGAGACATGAAAATAAAAAATAGGGAGTACGAGGATATTTTCCCTTTTTAAATGGTGCGTTGGACTTGTCTTATTGCAAATAATGTGCCAGACCAACACGTGATGGACGAGCTTTATTTTTTAAATTGAAGCCAGTTTATCACAATGTATGTCAGACTGACACATTGCCTAAAATAAACCCAATCTACAACACATTGTGCCATACTATTTGGATTTTTGTCTAGAGAAAATATGCATTGAATCATGGATATTTTCATTAGGGGTGGCAATGGACCCGAACCAACCCAAGATCCACTGGGTATACCTAACATGAGTACGGGTATGGGTCCAGCATTTTGACCCAACGGGTTGGATCTGGGTCCAAAACCTGGA